CCACCTGGACCAGCATTACAGAGAAATGTAATATTTATTACAGATGTCACATACGCAGTAAAATGAATAAAATATTCCTTCTGCTCTTCTGGAGTACAATAAACACATCAAAAAAACGCTGGTTTAAAACATCAGTCAAATCCAAGCAACAAATATCTGCTCATACCCTATGATTCTGATGTGATTATGCATCCGTACTAAACAGCGTAGGCCTACTCTTGCTGCCCAGTTGTCATAATCTGGATCACAGAAACAGAACTGTAACATGGGCTGATTAATAAATATCTAGACTGGTGATAAGTGGGCTAAGTGGGCTATGGTTACACTGGGAGTAATGAGTGCAGAGGAGACCTGCACATTACTTGCTAAATGCTATTACAAGTGAAGAGGCACAATTTGAGTAAAACTGTCAAAACTATTGAGTAGTAAAAGAAGAAGAGAGATGAAATTTGATGAGAGGATAATCCACTGCAGCACCTAACTTCAATAACATTAGAGTTATTATCATAGCCAGACAAATAGTGAAACGCAGTGAATCAACTAGCACTAGCTGGTATTGACATTAACATTAGACTAGCTGTTGCAGAACCTGAACTCGATACAGAATGCGATTTTGTTGCTTTTAAAATGGTAAACTATCTCCTGTGACTAAAGTCACCTACCAAACGTCCATGTTAAGAGATACTGCTGTACTATGCGTATGAAGTTGTGTCAACAAAAACATGAGAGTAAAAAGCTTCCTAACTTAAAGAGCCCATTTCCTACTTTTCTGTTATGCCTTTTTCCCCTGAGGTCTGCTTACAACATTTTAACCTCTTTCTAACCTTCAGATTTAAACAGGACGTTTTTGTAATTGTGCCTTTGAGACTGATGTTTACATAAATGATCTGTGTTCTGATTGGCTGCCATGTATTGCGAAACACTCCTTATAAAGTAAGCAGTGAACGGTATATTTTTGAAACTTTAAAAATGTTTATGTATTATATATACAACTACATACTAAAAGTCTTTTATTTTAAAAATATGAGGAAATTTTGGTTTTCCATATTTTGGGCCATTTAAAATTAGCTTAGGCATTTTTGTGTATAAGGTGTGTCTAGTTGGTGTGGTTGGGGGTTGGGGGAGCGGACTGACTCTAAATTCATAGTGCTACCCCCTACACCTTCTGAAACCATGATTACACCCTTGGTAACAAACTAATTTGTAACTACTTTGAAAGTAATGGTTAAACAGATATTAGATTCAAGTCGTAAAAAAGAAGATGACTTTTTCGGTTGCAGGTAAAAGGGCACAAACCTGATTATTACAAGCTGAGCTGTAATTATTACAAGCTGGCGTTTAATGTTTTAATGTTAGCAGTTCCTTCCTCCAAATTATAGTTCCTTAACAAGCAGTTTGTTGCTACGTCAGAGGAACGAGCTCCGCTCACTTGCTGCAGCCAGCAGTTTGTTCTCCAGCTCCACACAAACCAACACATTAAACTCGTTTCACACTCGTTTTTTCCTTTTCTGCTTGTTTTCTCCTATTCTATTCTTTTTGTTTTCTTCTATTTCTATTCTTGCTCAGGACAATTACCTTATTTCTTGGTTCATTATATGATTTATACTTTCGCTGCACTAATTCTTGTGCTTGAGCGTCTCCTACAGCTGTTAAAGTCGCTGCTTAGGTGATGCTACAGCCATCCGTAGCCGGGAGTCCTAGAGAGCACAATTGGCCTCGCTCTCTGGGTGGGTAGGATGGCAGGCGTCTCCCCAGCGCAGGCGTCTGTTAGCTGACATAACATTTTCAGCTGTCCAATGACGTTGCGTGAGCAGCAGTTCGAAAAGAAGCGGTGCATCAGCTTGCGTGGCCGGAACTAATTGTTGTATAATAAGTATTAAACGTCCCACATCCTACATTTCTCTTGTATTATATAAGGTCCACTTATTACATTTGTGTGGTCACATGTACTGAAAACAGTCATAATTCATTTATACATGACCATTTTCCAGCCTCTCTTTATCCCTTAGAATTAAACAGACTAATTTTGTTACTGTGCCTTTAAGACTAATATATGTAAATGAACTCTGTTCTGACTGGCTGTCCTGAATTGTGCTTGATTCAAAAAACAATCAAGGCTAAAACGACCCATATAACTTCAGTGTGTATGGGCGGGGCTAAACTACTGTAGGCTGAATAGGTGGATAAGTGGATGTGGGCATACGACAATATCGTTATCCTTATAAATGTTGTTATTGTGATGCACAATATGCTTTTCTGAGCATCTCGTGGCTATCGTCCATATTTAAAGAACACTGAACGAGTCCGTTTCATTACAAAGAGAGCATTAATAGGCCTGTTTAACTGGATTTGGTGCAGTGTAGTATGTGAAACATTAAGTAAACATCATGGTATTCATAGATTTGATAGCAATTTATAAATGTGGCACTACTAGGAGCATTGTGATATTGAGGTATCGTGTATCATAAATTGTCTTAAAGTATTATGACATGATATTTTTCATATCCCGCTGCTACATGTAAATGTGTGTCAATGCATTGGTTTTAATGACATCATGAAAACAGAAAAATCAAAACAGGTTGTTTTGGCAGCTTTGTTTGGATTATATGGACAGAGGAGTGAATGGTATGTTTCAAAACTTTAACAATGTTTACCTATTACTTCAATGTCTTCTATTTCAAAAAAGAGAGAAAATTCAATTCATTTTTCCATGTTATGGGCTCTTTAACAGCTAGCAAGCAAGACAGCTAATCAGACAATTTGGCCAGTTTAGACTTGTACTTCAGTAGCTGTATACAATGGACAAAAAAAGACAAACTGTTAATTGCAATTATTTACATGGCAGTTCATCATCAGCTAAAATTTCATGTGACAGGCCGGACTGTATATGGATTCATACTCAGTCAAATTACAACCAAATTACATCGCACTTCACAGTGTGCGTTCCCTGTCTGGAGTCTTGAGGTGTGAATCTTTTCTGTCAGTAACACAGATCACTGTGTACAGACATCAGCAACAAGCACTCCATCTTTACCGTGACAGGACAGGGGGAGGAGACACGACACTCTGAAGAAGCCTAATGCTCTACACAGTGTGTATGCAGTGTTTGTTATGTGTGGCTTTGTGAAGAGGACCGATATTAATTATCACTTTTCCAATGTCTCTGGTTTTCTTACCATCTGTTTTCTTGTTTTTTTTAGAGCCACACGCCATTTTCTTTCTGCTCTCACAGTTTGGGCTTTCCGAGCTGCAGGCCTATTTAAAACTCCGAAAGCACATTTCATGCAAAGCTGGAAATTTTAAGCACTTTTGGAGTCAAACAGCTAAATCACATTAATGGTAAATCGTGTAAATGAGGCATATAATGATTAAAAAAGAAACACTGCTAATGACCCGTCATTTCTGGGACGAATATCCCAATGTTTTAGCCTACAGGGTGACTGATGGACTAAAAAAAACACAGATGACAAATAACTGCATTGTAATTAATTTTAAGGAACTGCAAATATGATAGCCTGCTGTTAAAGATACTCAGTTCTGCTACACAGTCAGTCTGCTTTGAGGCAACACATCCCTGCAAGAGGGTCAGTAAGATGCTACAAATGTACTCCAGCTATAAATAGCCCATTCTACACCGTCCCTTTAAATCACATCAGTTTGTGTTAATTGACAGTAACTGATTGCTCAGAAGCTCCTGTTACAGTGAATAGGTTTTACACCCTCCATGACAGGCATAGTGTTGCATCAATTGGAGCAAACGTTCACCTTTTAACATCGTTCATTCTAAACAAACCAGGGGGGTTGAGTGCCCAAAAATGTCCACTTTATAACACGATATAGCATGACTTTATCATAGGCCTGGGTCACTTCAACATATGTTATGGCATATTATAACAAATTATAACATGCCTATCCTAAACAAACCAATCGGGTTGAGAATCCAGTTGTGGTTTGGGTTCCTATAACAAGCCATTATATGGTCTAATTCCAAACCCGTTAATAAGTAGTCAGGATCAGCTGGACCCATAACGGTTAGAGGTTAGATATAGATACATATGGTTCTTCCAGGGTTCTTTACTAAAAGGAATGATTCTATTTAGAACCATGAGTCCTATATAGAACAACTTCATGCACAGAAATGGTTCTTTGCAAGGTGAAATGGTTATACAGATTGATGGAGATTGTATTGTTTATGGTTCTACATAGAACCTTTTTGAAAATGGTTCTATATAGCACCAAAAGGGTCGTTATGTTGTTACAGGTTTGTAACAATAGAAGAAGCCTTTTTGGTGCTATGCTGAACCATTTTCAAAAACATACAACACGTTCTCAGTCAGTCTGAAGAACCATTTCACCATGCAAAGAACCATTTAAGCATGAAATGGTTCTATATAGAACCATTGCCTTTCCTAAAGAACCTCTAAAGAGCCATTTTTTAATAGCGTGGCTTCATTTTGAAGAATCCAATAGGTTTGAGCCCTCAAAAGTGGCCTGGGACACTTTAACCCACAGTATAACACATCATAGACTAGTTTGGTTGAGCGCCACAAAGGTGGCCTGAGTCGCTTATACTAACGTAATAACACGTTATAAAGCTTAATTTTAAACAAACCAATGAGCTAAACACAGATGCAGAGAGCGAGTGCTCCCGTTATTAAGATGAATTGCAGCCTTGTGTCACCAGGTTATTATAAGCACACAGATTAATCAGAATCGCGGAGGCTGAGCAGATCTGGATAAATGTGATCTCGTTGATCCAGTGGAGATCGCCAGTAAAGAAACCGGAGGATCCCACAACGGAAAGGTCCAGTTGTTTTACTTCTTGAGAATGAACCTCGTGTCTTGACTCAAACTGAGCGTGATACGAGCGCACCGCCGGTTATTTATACCCCTTCTGCTTTATTTAGCTAGCACACAAAAATAGAGCATAAATCGATATTTTCCAACTTGTCCGACTGAGGTAATTAGCAAAGGTGCTAAAAGTAAGTTAACGCCCTTACCTTCGGCTAACGGCTCCAACGGTCACGGTCGCGCCTCTGACACTTTCCACAGAGCGTCTCGGGAAACAGTATCAAGCCAATTTTCATCTCTACTTTTTGAATTTTTGGTTTTTCAGATTTTTTAACGCGACATCCACAGCCATGACCTCGGTTTTGGGGCGTTCAAACCTGCTGCGAGTGAACGGTAAGCCCGGCAGAGACGATTCAACCTGCTCTCTCCCGCGTTGTGATCTTTTTTTATCCCCCTCTCCATCCACCCGTATTCCGACAAGCCCCGCCCCCTGCGCTCGGATTGGCTCGTAGTATCGCGCCTCATGCGCTGAAACGCGCGCTGATTGGCTAATGGCATCCCGCCACCCGCGCTGCAACTGGTTTGTAGTTCATATTCACGAGTGTTCCACCGCAGACCGCTCATTGGAGGCACTGCTTACGAGTATGAACTAGTAACCAATCCTAGCACTGGAGGGGCGTGGCCTTTTCTGAATACATTTTCTGAAAATTAACGGTTCTCCTATCGTCTTTTCTGCCACCGCGGTTGAAGCGGCCTCGACAGCCAATAGGAGCGCAAGGACGGCTTGTTTTCACCAATGAAATGGAAAGAGGGGGGCAGCGTTCTATTGCCATAGCAATGATGTAATGGTCCACTTTTCTCACAGAGCCCTCAGCTCTACCGTCCCTGCGGCAGTACGAGGATGAGGAGAAGGGGGGCGAAACTGAGAGAAGGGGGGAAAATAACCGATTTCATCACCAATAGCTCATACAGTACAGAGTAATCCATCTTTAAACTGAAACACGAGACGTTGATGAGCCGTTTCTGATTCCCAAAAGCGTATGAGCTAACCAGTGATGGGAAAACATTACATCAAACATCATGAAAAGACAAACCTCTACCTCTTATGGGCTTATCAGCCTAAGTGGGCAAAAAAATAAAGTTTCAAGTATTTGGAGTAGTTGCTTATTTCCTCCAACGGCACTAAGGACGTTTTCTACTGCACAAAGTACCAGAATATTTAATTGGCAGAAAGCTGGACTTGAGCTTTTCCATTGGCTATCAGGTCAGTACCAAGGGTTCCAGTGTTATGGTTTTTGGTACCTGTTCAGGATTGGTCCTAATGGCACCCTCAATGGTACTCAAGACTGTTCTCCTCTGTCTTTGGTTATAATTGCAATTCCAAGTCATAATAATGCATTACATGATCAGTGCACCAGAATCTAAAACTACAATGATGTTGTGTTTACCAATATTTAAGAAGGCACAGCTGATGCGCAAGTTGTTGTGCTTTATTAAACGGCTGTAGTTGGCCACAGCTACGCTGTACACACACAGAGTATTGTCAACACTCGCTCTAAGCCTTGCTACGTGTTGCTTCCCTTTGCCGTCAGCATTAGACTAAGAATGTGTCCAAAACGTAAGGCAGCTGTCTCAATCCCTTGCATCCTGTGCTGTCTCATAAGTCAGTGCCTTAGAAGGCAGCGCTGTGCTGGTGTTTTCTGCTTTTTTTTCTACCACATCGGCGTGGACACAGAGAATTATGGGATATGTAAGGCAGTGAGGGATACGTCTACGCTGCCTTCAGAAAACGGCCAAACAGAGGAACCTCACCAGGCAGCGTGTTACACAAACATGGGATTCAGACATGACTGGCTGCCTTCCTGTCTCAGAATGCTGCATGAGTAGGCAACGTTTACTGCGTTTCAGACACAGCCTACCTCAGTACTTCCTAGTCTATACAGAACACAGCCATGGCAAACCCCGCCTTCAGAACAAGAGCCCTCATAGAAAAACCCAATGAATAAGTGCTTCAGAACAATTACCCAGAAATTAACATGCACACATTACTGAACATGCTACAATATGTTGATGTGCCAATGTATAGAGGAGTTTGCTAAGGTGACATAAGCTAGAAAGCTATGCCAACGTTATTGCTGTTTTTGCTAGCCCTCATTAAATAAGTGCTTTGGTCATATTTTCACACCTGAGAAAGATAAAGATAAGCTCTGTTTGGTTCTACACAGGATTTTCTGTAGTTGACATTTGTGTGAGTGCGTGTAAGTGCAAAAAACAGTACTGCATCACTCCTTATCAGCACGACTAATGCTGAGATAAGCTAACCAGTCAAGCTAAGCTAACAAGCACCAATGAATTCAGTCTCAAGGTTAACAAAATGAAGTCTTAGCTGACTCTGTACATGAGTCTGTGTGGATGTACTTGTGTGTAATGTTACGTGGCTAACTTGTTGCTAATAACACTCACTTTTATGGAGGCGTCAATGTTTTTTCCCACTTTGCAGCTCGAACATGCAGAGGTTGAAAATGACGCAGTTGTGGGCTTCACCTTCCCACCTCCGAGACAAGTCGAACGCAGCAACAGAATATCTTACATTGTTTCATGTCAGTACCATTTGCTGCAGCAGCTAATAAACAAGTAAGGTAGATAATTAGCTAAACTAGACACTTTAATCTTGGACTAATACAGTGGCATGAAATGACAAAAAAGACAATCATATCGTTAATTGCAGTTATTGTGGCTGATTCCTGTTTGGGTCAGTTCTTTTTTCTAAATGTGCAGTTGGAAACATCCTGAAGGTGTTTAAATTTGGAACTGGGATGTCAATCCTTTGGGTCAACAGGCCCACGTACTGTACAGCCTTTCCTTCTGTGGTTCATTCACTGCTGGTGATTCTTTGATCTTTTCTGCAATTCAGCTTTAGAACTGGTTGCTTGTTCAGATGAATAAGTGTGAATTTCAGCCTCAGGTGTACAGCAGTGAGCTGCATAAGGTGTGTAATTACTTGTGTGCTTCTTTAATCAGGACCTACACACTTAAAATAGGTGGTTCTTCAAGGGTTCATTAGTAAAGAAAATTGTCCTATATAGAACCATGAACACACAAATCAAACGGTTCTGTGCATCATGAAATGGTTCTTCAGAGTGATGGAGAAAGTGCTGTAGATGCACCAAAACGGTTTCTTCTATTGTTACAAGCTTAACATCATAATGATAGAAGAACTCTTTTTGGTGCCATATAAACCCTTTTCAAAAAGGTTCTATATAGAACCATCTATAGCACATGATCCATCAGTTTGATGAAGAACCATTTAATGATGCAAGGAACACTTTAATCATGCAAAGGGTTCTTTGAGTGTTAATGGTTCTATATATTTTTAATTAAGGTCCAAACGTTAAGATAGATAGGAAATTAATTGACCGTCATTACTTAGTGACAATTTTTAAATATCCTTGCATCTTAGCACATTTGACATAAAGTAAAGAAAGCTACATCAAACCATGAGGCAATCAAGTTCACAATTTTAATCCTGTATGAGGTCCTCAGTGAAGTGAGCTGAACAACATGATCCTGTAGCCTAATTCTGGATGTTATAGTGCCTTTTGGCAGAGAGGCAAGGATGAGGTGCCTCATGTCCACAACCAAAAGTTTGAATAAAACTAAATGGCCCAGCAGACCTGCAGGGTCTATACTGCTTAGTATGGATTTTACAGCAGCAGGTATGGCTACAGCGGCCAGAAAAAAGCGGTGCTGCTCCAACAGTGAGTTCTTTGCACAGGGACAAGTACCTGGAGCTTTGTCTTTTTGGCAGTGTACCATTACCTGCCTGTAAGACCACTGACAGCGTGTTAATAAGGCCTTTCAGAAGGTGAATCAGTGGACATCTGACACCATATTACATAATGACAAACCTATCTATCTATCTATCTATCTATAACACTGTGCAAAAGTGTGATACCACCATTCGTTTATTTAATTTCTAGTCAAAACAGCCATTAATGTATGTCAGAATAACTAGTTAAACTGTTTTTGTTTTTGTTTTTGTTTTTTTTAGAGGTAAAACATTAGGTCAGTGTGTAATTTATGAAAACTAAAATATGAACGGATTAGAAAGATTTTGAAAGGATTATGAAAAACAGGGTATTTGATTTGCAGTGTTGTTATTTTGCCACATAGAGCCTGAAAGTGTGTATATCACTATACACAAGCTGTTTATCATAAATCAGGACCATTAAATTTAAAAGTCATAAATTCATGATTGGGTATATTCTGGATCATCATAAAGATAAATGTGTAACCAAAGCTGCTTAATGATAGAAAAACAATGTCCTATAGGGCACAAAACTGGTCAGATGTAGCAGTTTCTGTCTGGACTGCTTATTTCCTTCCATCACTTTGTGAGTCCTTCCAGTGACATCAGCCTTATTTGGGTCACATCTAGGTTGGCGGTGTGATCATCAGTGCACGTGAGCAATGTTTTCCACCTAAGAGACCTGCACAGGCAGGTGTAATAAGGGCATTACTGTAATAAAAGGATAAGAGTGGCTATTTTCTCTAAGAGGGGTCCCGTGCCTGGTAATATCTGATTTAAGAGGTTCATGTTAATCAATCAGACTATAATCTGCTTTTATGTAATTATATGCTTTTGACCTTTGCTAATCGAAAAGGGAATAAAAAAGTGTGGCCTGCCAGTTGACCAGATGAAGATGTGTCATCTGATGACGTACTGTGGTCATGCAACTTTAATGCACATGAAGTGTGGTTTAGAAGAAGTGGAGTAGGCAGAGTCTTATAGTATTCTTAACAAAGGATTTTCATAGGAGAATTCACTGTTAGTGTAATTTGGGCCAGCACTAGGCTTGAACTGTGTCCAGGAAAGCAGTCCTCTGAGACTGTGGTAATTATGCCTTGTAATTATATCACAAAAGCAGTCAACTCAATTAAGAGCAGTATATAGAGCAATGGCATGCAAATTGTAATCAGCGCCGCCCCTCACTGCGACCTGTGGCTATCTTCCCACCCCGCAACGCTCGATCAAAAACAATCACATCCCTTGAAATCCGGGATTAAAGCCGGATTAGGCAGGCAAATATTAATTCCCGCAGGGTGTGGGCACAGGACCAGGCCGAGACGCTCGAGTCTGGCCGACTCTCACCCAGCCCAGAGGATTTCCCTGATAAATAGCAGGGACGGGGGCAGTTTGTACCACCAACGCTATTTTTTTTCTATCTATGTTTTGCAGCTTTACTCCCCTGGTGAGAAGATAACGATAATCTCTCAAATGTTATTGTTATCAGCTTTCTTCCCCTCTGCACGGGGTAACAGGCCGTGTGCCGTAGCGTGACGTGATTTTCAGGGCGGTGTTGTTCTGTTGTCATTGCGGGTTATGTAGATGTAATGGATCGGATGTATTGATCGTGCATTAGGGGAAAATGCCCTGAGTCAGCAGAGCAGCACAGA